AAAGCCCCCAGGACGGCGATTCTCGAATCGTGTGATCCCTATTCTCATAGGAAAAGTACGTGTGGTTTCCATTAATAGTATATTACAATCCGAGACGGAAAATACTTCATTGCTGGTCGAGAGGTTATTATAGTTTATCGAGACGCGAAGCGTCGAGATAAACTCAACCTCGAGACAGAAATGAAGTTTTCCGTCGAGGTTTGTATACTTTTTTATTTTCAACCCTTAATTTTCTGATGCAAAAACTAAAGATTCTGTTATACGAAATTTTCATATAGTGTAAAACTGGCCTTAGAAAAAAATATTTCACTTTTTTTGTCAATGTCATCAATTTTGACGATCTCAAAGGCCCTGTAAAGGCCAAAACAAAAGACGAAACCACAGGAAACCGCAAAATCAACAACCATAGATAAGATCAACAACGCCTTAACGACGGTAGTTTTCGCTCAGTATTTTTGCGGAAATAATAGATTTTCACTAGATTTCTCCCCGTTCTCCCCAAAGAAATGATTTCGGAAAGTGAAGATGAAGCGATGGATTGTACCCCACCTGAATTAAAAGAAGCAGCAGACAGGATTGGAGAGAGTTTGCTTCCAGCAAAAAGCAAATTTCGGTACGAAAAGGCTTTTCAAATATTCGAAGCATGGTGTAGCCAGAAAGGAACGAGAAATACTGCCTCGGAGACCGTTTTGTTGGCGTATTTTGGCGAATTATCTAAGGAAAAGAAGCCTTCGACTTTATGGTCGACTTACAGTATGTTGAAAACCATGATTAAATTGAAAGAGAAAGTTGATATCTCCAATTACACAAAACTTATAGCTTTTTTGAAGCGGCAAAATCTGGGCTTTCAGCCGAAAAAGTCGAGCGTTTTTTCCAGAGAAAACATTAACGAGTTCCTCACGAAGGCAGCTGAAGAATTCATTAGCATCAAGGTAGGTTTTCAAAAAATATACAAAGAAGATAAAAATGCGAAAATCAAAATGATTTTCTGTATGCTATAGCTAGGTTACCCATTTTATTTTTATCTGGTTTCAGGTAGCGCTAATTGTTGGTGTGTCGGGTGCATGTAGGAGCGATGAACTAGTCAAGATGAAAATGGAGCACGTCAACGTTTTGGAAGGAAAGATCGCTATAGAAATTCCACACACAAAAACTTACACAAGTCGATCGTTTATCATAAGCGATCCAGATTGGGTTGCTATTTTCCACAAATACCTCACTTTGCGGAAAAATTTGAAAAATGACAGGTCATTTGTTCAATGGCGAAATGGGAAATTACATAACCAAGCAATTGGCTATCATTCAATCTCAAAATTTCCACATAAAATAGCTGCTTTTTTGAAGCTTCCAAAAATTGAAACTTTTACAGGGCATGCTTTTCGTCGTACTTCCGCAACCTTATTGGTTGACAACGGGGCCGATCTATTGCAACTCAAAAGACTGGGAGGGTGGAAATCGAGCACGGTTGCTGAAGGCTACATAGAGGCATCTTTGGAGAACAAAAGTAAGACTGCTCTGATGCTATCCTCTACTTCCAAAGGTATTCAGTTGTCCAGTGCATCCACAAGTACATCACATGCGGAAACTCATCCGCAAGCGCAAGAGATAATAGTTCCAAACGAAACACAATTCCAACAGGATGGTCTCAAGATTTCCATTATAAACAACAATGCTAATTTAACAATTAATGTAAATAAGTGAATAGATTTAATTAGTTCCATGTAATACATGTGGTTTTATTATTATATGTGAGAGCTGTATGAAAATTATCAATTTGGAACGAGCAGGGAAATGGGGACGGAAAAGCATTTGCCGTCCCGGACGGAAAATGCTTTTCCGTCCTAGGCAGGCATATGCATTACCGTCCCGATAAATGTCAAAGTCCAGAAATGTGACACTTTCAAGATTTTGAAAAACCTGCAATGTCAACATTACATATGTGGTTGAAAATAAAATCTATTACGACGTATTCTCGAAATTAGGGACCGTTCACTTCCTATGAAAGTTGAGAGAATTTTATTCTACTACTTTTTTTGAAGAGAACGTCTGTTCTCGGGAGAACCAAACGTCAAACATGCGCTTTTTGTCAATTTTACAGTCATCATCCATAATATTTTTTTGTTTGTTTTGCAAATCATTTAATCAGTAATTGCCAATTGGGTACATTTGCATATTGTGTTGAAGTGGAAAATACGGTCTAATACGAAAACGTGGGAAACCATGGAAGCTGGGGGTTATAGGAAGAATGCTTGTACTGAATGATCTACTAGATGCAGTAGAGCAAGAAGAAAGGCCTATAAGGAGATTTCACAGAAGAGAAAATCCCTTTGATTTAACGGATAATAAATTTATAAAACTATTTAGATTAAGCAAAGATCTTGCTCGAAATTTAATTGCTTTACTGACACCTTTTATACGGACTCCAACTAGAACTTCTTCATTAAAAACTGTGGTAAAATCGGAGGTATATTTTCCATTATGAAGTTTCTCATTTTGCCTTACAAATTCAATGAGCATTTCTTTTTGAGTATGATTTATAGGTGATCTTGATTTTTCCAAATTCATTTTCCACATAAACAAAACAACACGAAAATAAAAATTGTAAATAGAATATAGAATGATTTGATTTTCAGTAAATAAATAAGCAAAGAATGAGATTACGTCCCAAAACACAAATAAAACAAACCCCTCGTTTTTATTCTAATCAGACTTCACCGATGAGTTAGCTGTCTTTGTTTAGTGAATGGAAAATAATAATGACCGACATAGAATGGTGGATCCATCGGTAAAATTTGATGAGAATAGGCCTATTCGGGTTTGGAAAAAGGACGGTTCTAGAACGGTTCAAAACAATCGTCCAGTTTATTGATCAACAAAATAACAACGACTCGACTATCACAAATTTCAATAATAAACTGTGCGATTCTTCTGGACCGTTCTAGAACCGTACTTTTTCCAAACCCGAATAGGCCTAATAAAAACGCAGAGATACTGGTTTTCTTCTTTCTCATGACATTCGTCCTTTCAACGCACTAAAATTCTGGCTAATTCTACATATTACTGTTGGCAACAACGAATTATGATTTGACAAGTTTTCTCTCATTCTATCATAATCCCATACGTTCGAGAATACCAACTTTGGCACCAAGAGAACGAGCGTGCGATGTGATCTCTCACTTCTCCTAGGGGAATGTTCACTTCTACCAAATTCGAGAATCGACTACCAGGGCGTCTATTCTCGGTTTGTGGGAAGGATCACATCGTGAGAAACCATGTCTCATTCGCTTAAGATCGTGGAACCTGTATTCTCGAACCAGTTCACTTCCATCAAAATTGTAGGAGAACACGTTCTCTCAGAAATTTGTAAGAGAATGGGTTCATCTCGGGAGAAACCTGCGCAGTGATAAAAACAAGGAAAATATGCATTTTTTTAATTTAAATTTTAAGGTTAGGTTGGATTTTGTTTTGTTTTGTGTTGTCGTTGTCGTGTTGTGTTGTGTTCAAGTTCAATTATTTCGAATTTCGACAATTTAAATGTTTTGTTTTTGTAGTTGATTTCGATTTTGATAATAATTGCTCTTTTCGTTTTGTATACCTAATATAATTGAAAAAATTAATTACGTTTTACACCCAAAGTGCTTGGATACAGAATCTTACTATGGCAGCAATTTTCGAGGATGATGAGTATTTTATTATCCAAAATATAATTAGGGATATTGAAGATGCAGAAGATGGGGCAGAACAACCGCCAAGGCAATATTTTCAGAGGGCAAATGCTTTTAATGCATCTGATGCTACCTTTTTGAAAAACTTCAGATTCACAAAGGCACTGGCCCGAATGATAATAGAGAGATTAATGGTGGATTTATACAGACAAATAACATAAGATAAGAATAAGATAAAAATAACATAAAAGATGAATGTACACATTTGCCATAGGACATTTATAGGGTAAATAACATAAGAATAAAAATAAGGAATAAGATAAAAGATGACTATCTTTCATCTTCTTATTTTATTTTTATTTGAAAATACAAGTGCGCATGTGTAGGACATTTGACGTGACAGTCGGGTTGACGGTTGGATTCGAATTGAGTTGACGGTTGACTCATCTGTTTTGTTTTCTGTGCGGTGCGTGCTCTTTGGTTATCGTTCTGTGTGTTTGTTGCATTTGTTGTCGAAGTCGAATTAAACAAAATGGATGATGAACATTTAATCAATCAAGTTAAAGAGTTTCCTGCTCTATACAATAAAAAAGATTCTAGATACAAAAGCAAATTAGCAAAAGAAAATGCGTGGAAGACCATTGCGGCTATTTTGGAAAGCGATGGTTTGTTCTATTGTTCTTCAACCATTATGTTCTCTATATTATCTTTATATTTCCAGTTGTTAGCTGTGAACAAAGATGGACGAGTTTGAGGGCCAAATATACTACCATTCGAAAGAAACTTAGGGAGATGCTATCCGGGTCTGGGAGTGCCGATATTCCATGTTTTTGGCCATATTATCACATGCTTAGTTTTTTGGATCCCTTCCTGCTAACGAGGAGGTAAGTACATAATAATTGATTAGGTCAATAGGCTTAAGGTAATATGACTTATGTTTTAGAACGGTGTCAAACTTCAAGCCCTCAATGCAGCCAGTTTCCTCTGCTTGGGACACTTTAACTCAAGTTTTAGAGGGAACAAGAGAGGAGCCTGAACATAGTGAATCCGACGATTTTTTGACACCTCTTCCATCCCCAAGGGAGGAATCCCTAGCGGCCCCAACTCCCCAGCAGGCGAGGATCCAAAAAACTGCCAGCGCCAGTCCTCACGTCGAACTTGAGGCGAAAAAAAGGAAAACTGAAACTGTTCAAGATGAATTGTGTAACAAAATGGCATTGACACACTAAATGCAAATTTGGGGCAAAAATCCTCGGACAGGGAGTTTGCTCTAAGTCTTGCCCAAGACATGAGTGTCTTGACAAGCGAAGAAAAAATTTTTTTTAAGAGGAATGCTTATATGTTACTAACAGAAATCCTAGAAAAAAGACATTAAAAAGATTTGTTTAGTACCTACCTATATTTTTTTTTTGTGCTGGATACTTTTTCAATTTAAAATAAAAAATGTCAAACTACAAGTACCATCAATGGTACCTCAATAAAAATAAATAAAATAACAAATTTAGTTTCATTCATGTATTTTTGTCAAAATAATTAGTTAACATTGAAGTTATCAGGTACAGATCCGGCATATAATCTGTTCCATTGATTTTTTATTTCTCCTAATGGGGATATTAAATATTGAGCTAAGGTATTTCGGAGCATCTGGACCCTCTTTGCAGCATTGTTTGGTCCTGTTCGTCCAATTGAACGAAGTTTATTTTTCAGTTTTCTCCATTCGCCTTCTTTTTGCTCTCCATTAATATCATCAGAGTCTGCAAATCCTGTAGGACAGTACCTTCTTTGGGATTCGGGTATGTCTTCTTCACCCTTTTGAATGAAATTATGAACCACTACTATAGCTTGTACAATAAGCTCACATGTTTCCACATTTGCTATAATAGTACTACGTAACCTCCTCCATCTCTGGGCCATTATGCCAAATGCATTTTCAATGCAACGTCTTGCTCTTGAAAGCCTCAAATTAAAAATGTTTTCGTGATCTTCAAGGTAGCTTCCTGCATAAGGCCGCATTATATTTTCATGCAGAGGAAATGCAGCATCAGCTACAAAGTAATGGGGAAACTGGATGTCAGTTCCTGGCAAAATTTTTGCTTCTGGTAACTGTAATGTCCCTTCAATTAAAGATTTTCCATAGCTGGACTCCTTGAATACAGCACAATCATGATTTGCCCCTGCACTTCCAATGTCCACATATGTGAACTTGTAATAGGCGTCACATGTAGCCATCAAAACTATGCTAAAGATATAATTTTCAACATTAATTATTAAGCATACTATACTATAATGATTCTTATTTTACCTAAATGACTTCTTGTAGGAAAAATATGTTGATCCTGAATATTTTGGACACTGAATTTCCACATGTTTGCCATCTAGTGCTCCGATGCAGTTTGGCATATTCCATTTCTTATAAAATTCATTTGAAATAGTTTTTAGCTTTTCTTTAGATGGTGTTTCGAGTACTAGAGGTTGCAACGTCTCCCAGAGAACTTTACATGTTTCTTTTATGATACAATGAGCTGTGGTTAAGCCAATGTAATTGTTCCATGCAATTTCTTGCATTGAGCACCCTTCAGATAAATAACTGCAAAAAGAAAAATATTGTTAGGGATTTAGTAGATGCAGTTTATTATTTAAAACATATATAAACATTAGTGAATCGTCTATACTCACTGTAATGTTACAGCTAATCTTTGTTCTGCTGAAATCGGGCACTTTGAAGGATCTTTTGTTATATATGGTCTGATAAGGTCAAGAAGCTTATCGAACAGTTCTGGGGACATCCTGGTATACTTAAAGAATTGTTCTCTGTCATTTCGCTTAGCAAATTTCAAGAGTTTGTCATATACAGAAACATTGGTCCTATTTCTGTTCATTGGCCTAACCTTAAACCTCCTGTTTCGTTTTTTCCGCAGCAAATTCAACTGGATTGCAATCGTCATGAAAGTCATGAGTAAAACCGCAGCCTCAATGTCGTCCAACATTTTCCAAAATCCAAAATTTAAACCACAAAACTCAAAACTTGAACACCATAGACATAAACAAATCTTTTATTTTTTAGAAAAATTATAAAACATATGGTTGACACACTTGACAGTTCCAAAAACTTGGAGGTGCGCAGGCGTCTCCCGAAAGTTATTATTGGACGATTTCCAATCTTATTCTTATTTTATTTCTCGTATAAATGCATTCTTATTCTTATTTCTTATTTAATGTTATTCTTATTTTTATCTTATTCTTATGTTATGTTATTTGCTGTATAAATCCACCATGACTCCATTTTTAAATCCTCCCACAAGAAGATCTTCAATTAGCATAGAAACAAAGGTAAGCAAACATATACATTTATATTTTTTATAGACAAAACAAGTCACCTATGTACAAAAATGTTTTTCACCAACACTCTGTGACTTCTTACTATTTGCAATAAATCCTACTACATGTAGGTACTTATGTAAATTATGGCAAGTTCTCAATTAAGTTTAGTCTAGGATTTTTTACGTTTACTTGCATCTAGAAACAGTCAGATTGCGAATATGAAATACTACAGTGTGTTGACACCATTTACTTTTTTTCTCGCATTTGAGGTAGCTACATGATTTTGTTTATGAAAAATAAGAAATAATGCTAAGTATTAAAGATTATAGGCTGTATGATGGGTTTGGTATTGTTCCACTGGCTACTGTGCTGTGGTTTTACGATTATAATTTTTTTTTTTAGGTTCTAGTTGCGTTATTTTTTTATGGACATGTTTGCTATCAGGAAGGTGTTAGTAAAAATGTATTTGCTAGTCTGAGTCAGTCTTCTGTAAGCAGATGTATTGATGAAGTGACAAATGCTCTTAATAATGAAGACATACTGGGAGAATATATCAAATTTCCTAGGAATCTAGAAGAGCTTAGGAATTTAAGAAATCGGTAAGAACCTAATAAATTTGAAATGCTATCATTAGTATTAATTTGTTAAATTTTATTCTAGGTTTTATACAAAATTTAACTTTCATGGGTCAATTGGGTGTATAGATGGAACTCATATTGCAATTGTCCGGCCTACTGAGGATGAACATATATATGTTAATCGAAAAAATTATCATTCACTCAATGTTCAAGTGGTAAGTCAGAATTTTTTAAAGTCTCCTAATTTAGTTAATTTAAGTAATTATTATAAAATAGCTGTTTAGATCGACAAGTTGTGATAAGATACTTTTTTTTTTTTGAAAAAATCCTTTATTCAAGTGTTCAATATACAACAATTACTACATTACATATAACTAAATAATTATAATATACACCTGAAATAGGGACCCTCCTAAACAATGAATTCAAGCATTGGTACTGGGGGTTAAATACACAAATGCAAGTTGTTTTACTTATTGAAAGTGATTATTTAATTTTCCAATAAAAATATCAATAGATTTTTCATTTTTTAAACTGGTATGAAGTTTATTAAAAACAGTTGAATCCTTGCTTACTGGGTTATGTAATGCAACATTAGTTCTAACAGGGTTTAGAGATAAATATTGCTGCATTTTCTAGTGTTTTGGTTAGGTATGTATCTGGTTTGTGTGGATTATATGGGTATTACATTTTTGTTTATTACTATTAATTTTGTATTTTAATTTAGCTTGATCGATTTGTAGAATATTTTTGACTGGTGGAAGTTTTAAGGTCTTATAGATCGTTTCAGTGCTTGTTCGGAAATCTGAATTAAATAAGCTTTTTAAAATACTGTTTTGATGCAGCACTTGTACTCTATTAAAGCCTGTTGCACTACATGTCCCCAGATTGGCAATTAATATATAATAATTGCTAAGAAATGAGCATTGTATTTGCGCTATTACTAAAAAAGTCTTTGCATCTAAATACAGCTCCTATCAGTGGAATAAATTTGGTCTTTATGTATTCTATATGCAAAAACCAATTTAATTTATCATCTAAAATAAGACCTTGACTGCAACATTTCACAGATAAGCGGCTTTCCAGCCTGCAACGCACTTGAGCTTCAAGCCCATTCTGATGCTCGAGGGGAAAGGGGAAGGCACTTTTGCGCTCTGAACGCCATACCAAAATTGTAAGCCTGGAACATGCGTTTCAAACTCATGCGCAAAAGTGCTCGATTGCGTGCACAAAAGCGCCACCTGGAAAGCACCTATACTTAGAAGATTTCTTCTACAAGTGTTATTATAATAATAACTGATAATTATGTTGATACTTTCTCTTTGAGACTCAGGAATGGCTGAACTACATATCTTCATTTTACCAGATCTTATAGGCACTGCAAATTTTAAATTGAAAACTTCTATGCAGTGCAGTTTTAAACCCTAATTTTGGCTCATTTCCCAGGCATATGCACTATGAAATATTATTAAATAGATTCCTTTTAAAAAAATAGTAATTAGAGTTCAGAAAACGAGATAGTCGAGATACAGGGTGTTTTTATTTGGAATATTATAGCAATAAAAGATAGTTACTTATTTTATTATGTTTTTCAATGGCAGTATAAATAATCCATGAACAAAATAGGTATACAAATTCTTAAGTAACTTTATTTAATATGCATACCTATTTTTTAATGTAAGTACATTTGCGAAATCCTTTCTATTTGTAACTGTAACAAATAGCAGTAAATAGCTCAGAAGAAACCAAGTTGATTATTTAGTTTAAACAGAGCAAAATCCTAGTAAGTCTACTTACTATGATTTTCAATTGCAGGGCAGAATATCTCATTTTTTGTTCTAGGTTTATTGTTTTTTTTTTTTTTTTTTAATTTTCCTTAATTGAATTATTATTTCAACCTGGTTGTTGCGGTTAAAAATGTTCGGAAAGGTTGGAAAACACCTAGTTTATCACAATAGTATAGATAGGTATATGTTTATGTAATTTTTTTTGTTAATTTTAGATTTGTGACGAACAGTTAAGGATAATGAATATAAATCCTCGGTTTCCTGGAAGTAGTCATGATGCTCACGTATGGCGTCAATCTAACATTTCCCAACTCATGGAAAGGATACACAGAACTTTTGATAGTCCATTTTTTCTCCTTGGGGACTCAGGTATTTTATATTATTGTACTTATCAAAAAAATACCAAGGAAATTACAAACTAGTTAAGATGATTTTCATTGGTAAAAAATTGTGAGCTGATTGCCAACTGACATCCATTTGTGGAAAAAACTTTGTCTGGTTTGTGATTTCACTGATTTCTGTAAGAATATGCCTCATTTTGAATAAATATACAGGTGTTACAAATTCGAGTGTGTGCATGGGGATCTCGGAAACCATAAGAGATACGAGGTCGCTTAAAGTGAGGCAAAGTTGCGTAATTTTATGCTTAACAAAACACCGTTTTGAAAAATTAAAAATTCCGAATAGTTCCGGAAATATTCGGAATAAACCGAAATTTTACAAAAGCGTTTTTATTTTTTTCTCAGCTTATTTGAAGGGATATCCCAAAACAAATGTCACTTCGTTGCCACTTTCTCTCCTCTACAAGATGCTACCATCAAATTTGTTTTAGTTAGTTTGGATGGTTTTATGACTAATCTATATTCATAATTTTATATTTTGTTAATTGTAAAACTGTTAAATGGGGTTTTCCCGTAAATTAATAAATAAATAAAGAAATTTGAAATCTGACGGTTCGTCTTTGGGAGACCATCATAAACTTATACGACCCTGTTTTTTTTATGTCAGATTAAAAGAGCTTCTGATGTCCCAAAACCTATGACGTATCGCATTTATTCGAAAAAATATTTTTTTTTACTTTTTAGTAATTTCCTGTCAAAATGCTGTTCTATGTCTCTCTCTAACACATTTAGTTCTTATGGAAAGTGCCACTAATATAAATGTTTCGAATAATTGCAATACGTCGTTGGTTTTGGACATCAGAAGCTTATAAAATCTAAAATAAAAATAAGGGTCCGTATTTGAAAAACTGAAGTTGATGATGGTGCCTCAAAGACGAAACATCGGGTTTTAATTTGATGGTAGCTTCTTGCAGAGGAGAAAAAGTGGCAACAATAAAGTGACATTTATTGTGGAGTATCTCTTCAAATAAGCTCAGAAAAAAAGAAAAACGCTTTTGTAAAATTTCGGTTTATTCCGAATATTTCCGGTACTATTAGAAATTTTTAAATTTTCAAAACGGTATTTTCTTAAGCATAAAATTGCGCAGCTTTGCCTCAATTTAATCGATAATAATAATAATGTTTTCCGAGATCCCCATGCACACACTTGAATTTGTAACACCCTGTACTGTACTATGTATAATCATGTAACAGTATACATTCGGCTTTTTTAGGATACCCATTACGTCCATGGTTGCTCACTGCATTACTGAATCCACTTCCCAATACACCAGAAGAAAGATTTTCTAATCATTTGAAATCTGTTAGAAGTATTGTTGAACGGTGCATAGGTTTACTGAAAAACAGGTTTCGGTGCTTACTCAAATACAGGACTCTTCATTATGCTCCAGATAAAGCAGCCAAAATTATTATAGCATGTGCAGTTTTGCATAATATCTGCGTCAGCAATAATGTGCCTGAACCTGAAATGGACCCGAATCTGGAGTTAGATTTAGGTCTTAATAATGTAGCTGCTGATGGCAACAATATAGGTGGTGTAAATCCTGAATTGGAGCAAGGAAGGCTTCTTCGAGCAAGAATTATTGCTACTCACTATGTGAATTAATTATTTACTTAATACAAGAATAAATTTTATTATCTATTATATTGATTTTTTGTCTCCCTGCAAACCAATTTCCAAATTATGACACTTGCTGTGTGGATAAGTAGAAAATGGCAGCACTAGCACAGACCTACATATTCTTTATGGACTTCAAAAAATTTTTGTTGTATGCAGATGCTTAATTTGAAGTGAAACACTGAACAAAGGGTTTCAGAGCAAGTGTAGGTATTAACATTTTATTTAATGGAAGAAACTGAGTATCTGATATTTATAATACATATTTTAAATCTATGTGCTTATAATAAATATTTGATACTTTTCAACATAATATAAATTGAACAAAAACAAATAAGAAAAAATCTAACTATCTAAGAAATTATTTAGATATTGCAACTAGACTGAATTACAAAATCTTTGGTTTTTACCAAACTTTCAGATATACGTAGGTAGGTACCCAATTTATTTTCCCACATCTTGGATGCAATAAGTCACAAGCCAAAAATATGTATTTTAGGACATGAATATGACTCGAAACTATGAAGGCGTTGAAAAGACCTATTTTTTTTCAATTTTCAAAATTTTGAGTTTTAATTTCGACTTATGTCGAAATTTTAGAGTAGAATTTAATGTTATAACTCGAAATTTTAAAAAGTGAGAAATAAAAAGTTGGGTTTCCCTTATACGCCTTCATACAAATAGTTATTTATGTACCAAGGCTTGTAAGTGTTACTTTTTTGGCCGAGGATGCAGCATTTGAGGCCAAAAAAGTACACGCTACAAGTCGAGGTGCATATGATATTTTTTGTGCTACCCATTCTGTAAGTGACACTTACAGTTCATGGACGTAGGTCAAAAAAGTCAACTTACAGAATGGGTAGCACAAAAACACCAATTTTATGACCTGCATCCAAGACGTTACAATAATTTTACTTTGAACAGTTGCATTTATGCATAGATTTTAATGTTTCTAGAATTTGTAAGTTAGTGTTCTTATTAATTCTAAGCAAGTTTAATTTTTTCATTTCATAATTTTTCCTGTGTTTCAAATAATTCTTTTTTTCTTCGTAGTAGCTCGCAAACATCTCAGTCCTTCTGTCCATGGAATTTGCGGCTTTTTGACCTACTTGTAGAGAGCTAGTTAACCTTCTGGTTTTAGTGAGTCGCTTCTTCGGGATGATTCCTTTTTCTTTTGGCCCGGGAAACTCTAAAGAATATGAGTGGTCATTGCCAGTCTTGTTGCCAGTACCAGTACTAGGGTGTACTGTATTTTCTTGATCAATAATGACCTCATCAAACTGTATATCGTTAACTACACTGTGATCCTAAAATGAGAAGTAAAAAGCTAGTTAGAAGTTTAATTAAAAAATAATCACTGCTTGAAAATTGAACATTTGCAATGTTGATAAAATAATTTAGAAAAGCCAGATTTTCATGTTTACCTAAGAATAATAATTTATTAATACCTAATAATCATGATTTTTTTAATAAAATTTTGTCGTTTTCAATTTTTTTGCAGACCAGAGTATATACCTAATAAATTAATCCTGTATAACCTACCTAGCCATTTTTATAAGTTAAAAAAAATAAAGGACCTGAAGTTGAACATTGTCGCACCCCAAATAATTTCTGGAAAGTGGCTCTCTAATTTATTGATAAAAGTACATCGTTGCCTCATTAACACTTAAACAATCATTTTCAAACTACATCTTTCCACAAGATTCATATAGAAATTCCTTGAATGCCTAATTTTCAGGCTAATTTTAGTAATTTTAAAGGAGAACTTGTCACTATAACTTAGGTAGGTACCTACCTGTATTTCTTGCTCCATATGTATATCTCCTATGTTAGTGTCCAATCTAGGGTTTTGATTAGGTATATCCTCATCATTATTTATATCAAAACTACTTAAGTCATAGAAGTCTGTGTCAAAGTTGAAATGAGTTGAAGATTCTTTAATAGATGGAAGTCCTTGGATGGCAATGGGCGTCATTAAGTCCAAGATTTCGTTTTCAACTTTCTTCAAGACTTCAACTACTGGAGGTCCCCCACCTGTCTGGCTTGCATACATCTTGTTTTTTGATGCTTTAGTTTTTGCATTTTTTTTAAGATCTTGCCAAGTCTGAAAAATAACAAGTAACATTAAAAAATTACTGATCAGGTAGATATTTGGGTAGTTTTCTGTTAATCAACTGTTTAGAAAGGCTGCCACAAGCCAAAGTCCAAATTAAACCAGGAAATTAAAACTATGGAAATTGTCAATTTCTAGTGAAATTTAATATGAATACCGCAATAAATACCTTGATCTACTTACCTTTCTCCATTGACGCCAGTTTTTTGTGAGCCATTTGATATTTTGTTTAGTTTAGCTGCTATTTCCTCCCAAAGTTGCTGAGCTTTTTTAAATGTAAATTGGGAAGTAAACCTGCCGGTCTTTAAATCGGAATGTTGTTTCATGAATTCTACTAATATTTCTTTTTGTTTTGAATTTACGGGATGTCTGCGCGATGTGGCAGATTTTTCCATTTTTCTAAATTTAAATACTAACACTACTTAAATAATGATATTATTATTATATGATAATCTCAAATCACTTTCATAAATCATAACAATAAAAATAATAAACAACAAAACATCCTTAACTAACCTAACATTAACAAAGATTGATAAATCGTTAACCTCAAAATATTTGAATTTTGACATTTCAGCTGTCTCTCACACCGTGTTCGAGAATACTGATTTCGATACTTCGGGGTCGTCGGGTTTTGATCACATCACATAGAACAAATATGAGGCAACCGATCGCTTCTCCCAGGCGAATGTTCCTTTCACATTATTTCAAGAATAGGCGCCCTGCCGTGCTCATTTCGAAATTGCCGTATAATAATGTAAACATAAACAATGAAGCCACGAGTCCTGCCGCGAGTCGAAACGCAAACTCAATGGACCATCATAACCAATTAAATCCGGCCATTCTCGCCTCAGTGAGTGCTGTTTCCAGTGTTAAATTACCGCCTTTTTGGCCAACCATGGTGAACCTATGGTTTATCACAGTTGAGTCTTCATTCAGACACTACAAGGTGAGCAACGATAATTCAAAATTTGATATGATTGTCTAAGAGCTCCCTGTCGAAATAATTCAGTTCATTGGATTTTTTACGTAATATTATTTTTTCAGCTTGGTACTTTGTTCTATTTTGATAAAACCTGATTTTTTCTTTATAATAATTCTCCACAATGTCTTTTTTTGCTTCCTCGACTTTGACCAACTTCTGACAATTTTTTAATGAATGTTCGAGCCTTCTAGTTTTTGTAACTACTTTAAACTTTTTATTTAAAGATGTACTGGTTGTTGGTTCAGGCTGCAAAGCATATCCATGATCCATTTCATGTTGATCCTGGAAATATATATCACTACTTTAGATTTGCATTATGTTTAATAAAAATTAGGGTTACTAATATTGGTAAATTTTGTAGGTATGTAGATAATGCATACCTGCCTGATGCTTATAATATATTTCAGATCAAATCTTACCTGTATCGATTTGTCCCAGTTTTCCACATCAGTATTTTCTTTATTTTGCATTACAGCCTCATCTAAAACTACTACTTCAGTCTGAAGAGTAAAATAGTATTAAAAAGTTGTAATAAAAAACTAGGTAGTACCCAAGTGCATACCTCACCAAAATCAAAGTAAGCATTTGGAATGGCGACACTTGCTTCTCCAAATGTTGATACCTTTGGAATCATTTCTAGTATAGTGTTCTCTGTATTGTCCAGAATGGTGACATTTTCTGGCCCCCCTCCTGTTCCATGTAGGTACAATTTGTCTTTTGTAGCCTTTAACTTGACATTTTTCTTCAAGTCCTGCCAAGTCTGTAAAATTAAAAAATGAAACACTGACTAGGTAAATCATTCGGTGGATTTAAACACTTTAAAAATAAAAGCTAACTTACTTTACGCCACATCTTCCACTCTTTATGGGCCCCTCCTGGAACAGCATTTAGTTTTAGGGCGATTTCGTTCCAAAGATATTGGGCTTTTTTGAAAGTAAACTCTTTTGTAAACTTCGCGCTTTGTAGATCTTCATGTTGCTGCATAAACTCCACCAAAATATCTTTTTGTATCTCGTTGATCGGAGCCGCCCTTATCTTATTGTCGTCATTAGACATTTTTTTGAAAATAGATGAGCACAAGATTCATTAAACAATTTTCACATAACCTCAAAACGGGGAACAAACAATCAGCGAATCAACAATGAAGTTAGCAGTTATTCATAGATTTTGGCTTTCAGCCCAAATATATAAGCGGCAACGCTGGATTCGTCGATCACTCGTTCGGCCATCATCGCACGGTTTCAAAAATAGGGCGTTTTGCCAATGAGAGAATAACCATACGATGTCATCTATCCTTTTTCTCGGAGGAACGATCACTTCTCTCAAGCTCGAGAATAAGCAGCCAGTCAGCTTGGCTCAACCGAGCGAGCAGCTAATAAAAGGCAGTCGCCAGTAACTCCACCAGATCGGGGTTTCACCCTCATTCACCTTTGTTCGAGGATTCTGCGAGAGATTGTTGATTCTACTAACCTGGAAAACCCAACGCCCGTCCAACACGGTCGAGTCAAGATAAGTACCTACCTGTTAAGATTTATGTTCAGGTAACCAATCAAGGTTTTTGTGCTGCAAACCCTAAGAGCCTTGTGAATTTCGTCACCTGGCAAAATTCATTTAAATCAACAATTAATTCATTATATTTCAAGTAAAGTCACATTTGATATTCTATGCATTTAATCAGTAGTAAATTCCCTAGTTAAGGGGGTGTCAGTGCAGATTTGTTTCATATTATAACGTAGTTAGTCATATATAATTGTTTGGCCAAACGATACCCAAAACTTGTAGGATTGTAATTAAGAAATAGCCCTTAATACCCTAAAATCATTCATTTAAACTTAAGAATTTCCGACACGTTATTTTCCCATAAATTGATTTTTCAAGTATTTCTTTATTAATAAAATTTATTTTGATTGAAACATAAGTGATTTTCTTTGTTATAACAGTACTGTTATAAGAATGTATATTCTTTTTAAACAATAAAGAATTGATTGATTGATTTTCTTTGTTTATTGATTAATGTACGTTAATACCCGGTAGCACGTTACAAATACACATCTCACTCTCTTTTGGATACCGCGAAGACGCGGCATCCCTGTAAATTCTTCCAAACAATAGGGACGACGTCGTACGACGCCGTCGTCACCTGGGCACTAACCCAGCGATTCACTTTTGAGCGAGCAGCGACGGAAAGAACAACTAATAGGTAAAAACCTCAAATTTAATTATAAAAACCGGGTAATCCGTGGCGCGGTTTCCTTATGTACAAGAAAGAAAGTCTTATGCGTTCCCTTACACTCTCCATTTAAAAATAATGTTCTTTTTTATATTTGCGGATTATTAATAAGAAAGATTTTAATAAAAATCCATGCACCTATTGTCAAGCCATGATAACTAAAAATTACAATAGTGATTATAATTTTTTGCTTGATATTAATGAAAGTAGTAGTTTAACTAGATTTATTTCAAATGGAAAGCTCTATTATCCTTCACGAGCTATTTTTGAAATAGTTTGTTATACTGAGAGGGCCTTTAGGGCTAAATCCAATGTTGGTATTCTAGGAAAAAATAATTTTAAATGAAACATTATTAGGTCCATGTTTCAACATTTCCTTCCAAAATTATAGTCTCTTTTTGAGGTAGAGCATCCTATTATAGAAAACGATGGTGCATTACATGATACTCAAATTAAAAAATATGTAGCAGACACATACGTGGCGCCTAATTTGGCTACCCCTGTGCGACGCTCCTGTCGCCAGCGAAAACAGCGACCTCTATGCTGGTCCGGCGATTGGACAGCACCACCACGACGCTAGCAAGAACCAGTCAAGTAGTCCAGAACAGATCGAGGCCCCGCATAGTTACACTTGTGACAGCAAGTTTACGCGCGCGTTCGTGACGTCATTTAAGACGTTTCATTCTGCTCCGTCCTGAACTGAAGTGTGACACTTGTGACAGTGACAGTGACATTTTAGACAATGCCCGAATTTAGTTTTGACCGCAACGAAACGCCCCCTCCCGTACTCATTCCGGAACTGCCGTATAATAATGGATCTGTTTCTGCAGAAATCACAAACCAGTCAAAGCGAATTTAATTGGTTGAAAACAGTCAGAAAACTAGTTTCAACCAATGGGCACCACTCTGACTGGTTTGTGATTTCTGCAGAAACTTAGGAAACACTCTGTATATTTCTCTTTTTGACCACCCTATGCATGCTATTTCAAGTTTTAATAGTTTAATATTATTTTTTCAAAAACCAGAAACTTATGAAGAATAACTTTTTTGCAAAATTGATAATTAAAATGTTTCCCATATGCTGCGAGCTTAAGTTGACACACTGTCTATGGCACCTTATTGAGCTTTGAGGTTATTCCTCATTTTGAAAAAATACTCGAGGAACATTATTATTTTGTATGGCCTCTTTTATTTCCTTCAAACCTTCTTTGAGGGTATTATTAATTTGGCTTAAACCAGCTTCTATCGTACTGTCTATTTTTTTCAAATACTGAATTGTCTCTCCATAAGCAGTGTTTATTATATTTTCATTATTCTTTTTCTTTTTTGGCACTGGTTTTTCCCTCAAACAAAGATAGTCATGGTCATTTACTATATCGCTCTCACTGTCTTCTTGTTTTCTCTTCTTCATACTTCCGTCCTGACAACTCTGAGGTACAGGTTTTTTCTTTTCTCCTAGAGAAGTGGAAGCAGTTTGATTCTCCATGCAGCTTTCAGCAAAATCTGGCGAATTTGCAGATGTCAAGACGTTTAGCTGGAAAACAAGTATCAATTAAGTGGTCAATTTGAAAAAATATTTAAATTATTGAATGAAGGATAATTCAAATAACAGTAATTCCAAAACATGAGTGTAAGAAGTTTAGGTAATTTATTTTGATCTATTTATTGTACATTTCTCTTGTAAATGAAAAATCCTCATTCCAATTCTGCCTAAAAACTTACTCCTCTCTCTGGCACCCCAACACCAGTATAAAATGAAAAACCAAGAATTGCTAAAATTCTTAATTCCAACTTCGATAGGGCTTTCTGGGGTGGCGGGCCTCCTCCCGTGGCTTTCTGAGTATTTCGAATATCTGCTTTTTTTTTCAAATTTCCCTTGTAATCAGACCATGTCTGAAAAATCCATTGGTTTTACTTCATTTGGGACACAGATCTGTATACTCTTTACGGCCAAAAACTATATCAATACAAGATATAATGGGTCTGTTTCTGCAGAAATCACAAATCAGTCAGAGCAAATTTCATTAGCTGAAAACAATCAGAAACAATCTTGAAATTCCCTCTGACCTGTTTGTGATTTCTGCAGAAACAGACTTATTATTACATTACCTTTTACCACTTTTCTTTTGTTTTCATTCCCAATCCAAAGGAATTCAATTTGTTCGTGAGGTTGTCCCATAATTCTTTGAATTTTCCTCTTGAATTGGAGACCGAAAGCCTGCCCCTAACAAAATCGGGGTTAGACTCCATAAATTCCACCATCACTTCTACGTGTTGCAATTGCAATTTAAACATAGTTCCCGCAAAAATAAATTATCTAGAATTGAACGAAAAAATCGAAAAATAATCAAAAATAATAACAACAACTTTGGATGTCAAATAATGAATGTGAATGACATTTTAAACAGTCACAAACAGCCAATGAGAAACCGCAAAATTTCGAAACGGCCGTCTCGTTCGGTAAATACCGGTAGGAGTTCATCTCGGTATCGAGTCGGTACCGACTCCAAACTAATTCTTAACTTCTTTCGAGTCATAGTTCGTAGCACCGAGTAAAATAATGTTGGTCACACTGCTTTTTGACAGGTCATGTTATTTATGGATTACCTAATCTCCTAAATCCTAAATAGCTAGGTATTTGTTTATTTATTCAAGAACGCAAAGTGATATATTCGCTCGAGCTTGACTATCTAGCGAAAGTGACAATATTACTTTGCGCTCAAATTACACACATGATTTTTTTCTACAATGAAATGATTTTCCATTAAAATTGAAAAAATTATAATTTAAACAATTTAGAGCCGTTTTCTCGCGTCCATTTTTCTCAAAACAGGTTTGAAACGGGCAATGGTGTTGCCATTGACTGTTACAAACCGGTTTCGAACCATCAGGCCTATGATGTATCCTGTCCTGTTATTTTAACGGCTGTGTTTAGGCTCAACATCTATTTGTGTCTCTATTTTGAAGTATAGAATAAACAGTGACAGATAACTTAACGTTTCTGTTAAAATAACAGAAAATGATACATCATAGCATAGCCCGATTGTCAAAAAAGTGAACGCGAGAAAACGGCTTAGATTTCAATAAGTTCAAAACAAACGGGTTATTTTTCCACCATTTCAGGCGCATTTCAAGGTGCAATCAATCGGCAAAGTTTAGGTGAGCGAGAGTTTTGGCTACTTTGTCGATCGGCGAGCAGCAAAGTAAACAAAATGCTCTCTCCTCTTAAAAGTGCTACTTTGTGCTTTCTCATGGAAGCACAACTTTCTACTTTGCGCTCGAGTTTTCTACATTTTTAAAATCGACGAAAAAACGAGCACAACTTGAATCCGAGCATCCGATCGAGGCCTGCGGATGACGTCGCCACTCTGGTATTAGTGGTGATGTCACTCGCAGGCCTTGCCGACTCCAGAATTGACGAACGTACGCCTTATTGTTACGATTCTTGGGAATATTATATTATTAAAATTAAACATTTATAATGTAATCTAGCTTGCATAAAATTTTGTATTCTGTTGCTGAAAATGCTACCAATAATAATTTACGTCGGCGTCGGAGGCGACAATGCCGTGAAGATTTTAATTTGGACAATATTAGTGATAATCGATAATCAGACTTTTATTGCCTCATTTATAGCAAAAAAGACAATAATTGAACATTACATTGAACAATAAACAAAAACAATAACAATAACGATAACAACAATTTTGGTCTTAAAATATTAGAGACTTTTTGCACCTTTTATTTTGCCATTCCGCTGTGGTTATCGTTATACTGAGTATGCGCAGTAGCTAAAAAATGTTCGTTGTACTTATCAACCACAACG